CGCCTGGTGCCGGGCTGGTGGCAGGCACCGCGCATTGTCTGCCGTCTGACCAGCCGTGCTGTGTGCCGGGGTCCAAGTCGGGGGGGCGAGGGGGCTGCTCTGCCCGTCTTCCCTTCCTGGGCACACTCCTGTAACCTTTAAAGGCTGCAAGCACGGAGATGTGACAGCCCAGGAGCGCGGGGAGGGTAAAACCCTCAGACAGCCCCGCTCCCAAATTCCCAGCCCCGTGACTCACCTGTTTTCAAATCCTGCCTTGTGCCTTGGACTGTGATAAAAGAATGACAACAACAACAAAACCCACACGAAACAAAACCTTTCAGCCCCCCTTCCCCCCCTCCTCACCCCTTAAAAATCCTAATATCCGCTCTTTCTGATCCTGAAACCACACCCGTGATAGAACTAGGAGGACTAAAGCTTTTTTTTTTTAAAGAAGAAATATCCACAACAGTGAAAAGTGAAACAACATCCGGCACCGATCCATCCCAGCGATAGCTCTGTTAACACCTTGTCCACGAGCAGGCCACTCTGGCTGCAATCACGACTTATCCCAAATGAAAACCAATTAAAAAGACCAGGGCAGTAAAAAGAGTCATTTTGCCGCTCAGTGCGGGTGTCCCTTTTATAACAATCTCTATTTTTTAAAACTTTGAGCTGGTCCACGCCCCGTTTTCACAGAGCCGTAAGTATAGTCATTTAGAAATGGATGCTGTTCAAGTACAGCCCCCTGGTGCACAGGCACAGCTGTGAGGGGTGGCAGGATGAAATAATACGGACACAAATATTGCTACAAGGGCTCCAAGATGAACACAGCTGCTGCTGTGGGTGGAAATAAGCTATACCCCATAAGCACCTTTACACATGTACAAGGGGCTGTGGCAGATTTTAAACAGATACAGGCAAAGGAGGAGTGAAATTGTTATCTATAAACCAGCTTTTGCTGAACAGTTCCCCAGTGAGAAATGTTCCCGGTGTAATCACAGTGGGTCCAGTTCAGCAATCCAGAAGCAGAGAAGTCCAGAGGAATTTTGTAAGGATAAGGTCTTTTGTAACAGGCTTCAGTTTTTCCAGGAGCGTAAATATTATTTATCTGCTTGGGACCAAAATAAAGCACTTCACTTTTTCCTTTTTTTTTTTTTTTCTTCTGTACTTGCAGGGAAAAAGCAGCCCCTTCCCACAGCCATTTGCAGCCCCATTTTCTCCTGCTTCTCACTCCGATTAGTGTGTCTTTTTTTCTTTTTTTCCCCCTCTTTTTCCTTTTCTTTTTCTTTTTATTTTTTTTTTTTAAGAACACAAGCACCATTTATTTTGGGGGGAGGTGGCCATCAATTTTTACCTCCTCAGAAGAAATGATGCCCCAAAATTCACACGGCTGGAAAAAGGCAGGGGCATGGCCAGGCCGGGAGCAGAAGGATGCGGCAGGACCAGCCACAGGTATACACACACCTCCTGTGAGAAAGGGCTTGCAGACCAGGCTTTGGCTTTTAATGTGCCTTTCAAAGGGCTTGATTGATTGCTGTTAATCCTGTGAACAACTTCGGTGTTGTTAACAGGACTGGCCGCATTAGCGAAGGTACTGGCATGCATTAGTATGCTCCTCGTCCCCATGACGTCAATAGACAGCTTTCCAATGACTTCCAGGAGGGCTGGATCAGGCCCTTGCTAGCAGCAAGTTTTTAATGAACACCGTGTGGTGCAGGCAAGGGGGACACAGCGATACATCAGCCCTGACTGTCTTCGTTCTCCAGGAAACGAGCAAGAGGAGAAGAAAGGCAAGGAACAGGCCAAAAGGTTGCTGGAGGGGGATTCTTCTGCTGAACTTCAAACCCCTGGACCCATAGCACACAAAACCACCAGTCGTTGTATGATGTAAAAAGAATTGCAGGCAGGTTTTTTATTCCAAATAAGTAAGCAATAAATGTGAATTTTATTTTTAAACAGACAAGTTAAGTAGCAGGCAAGTTGTGCACCAAAGAAATAAAAATTCGTGTGACTTTTGTTTTTAAATAGCAACTTCTCTTTCTTTAGATTTAGTTACCTTTACCAGCTCATATACCCACAGATTTTCTACTAGCTTTTTTTTTTAATTAAGATTATTTCTAAATGAAACATGAGACAGTTAATATCAAAGACATTCTGATAACAAATCAGATACAGCTCAAAACTGCTATTAAAGGGCCAAATCCTGCCAAGCCTTCTAACTCAGCTGGAACTGTTTACTTCAGCTTGTTAGGCTTTGCAGGGAGTGCTGACAGGATCAGGGCATATTAGCTATGTAATCAAATGAAATAATTGAGAGCTGCATGTGGGCCTCTAATAACATCTAACAAAATAAGAGGGACCATCATCCACTAAACTTTGGGTGAGAACCCAAGCATCAGGGCATGGGCCCGATCCTGAAGACCTTAATCTGCATTGTTGTTAATCATTCTGCTGTGGTCAGAGGGATTATTCATCTGAGGAAGGATTACCCATGTGAACATTTGCAAGATTGGTCCCTGAATTAATGCATAAGTCAGTGTGGGTTGGTGGGTTTTTGGGTTTTTTTTTTTTTTTTTTTTTTTTTTTTTTTTAACTCTTAGTTAGCATCAAGAAGGTTGATTGAGGAGAGAAATGAAAAATTATTTGTATCCAAAAGAGCTTAGCAGAGGATTGTAGTCAATGTAGGAAACAAAAGGTATCACTGTTATTTAAAAAAAAAAAAAAAAGAGTTTATTTATGGAGACATTTTGTTATTAAAGTAGCACTGGTGAGTTTGAGGTGGCAAAGGAAAAGAAATGTATGATTAATAGAGGACGGAAAAGTAGAAGAGAG